TATATATATGATCACAGTGCTTCCAATATGGCCTGAGACAGAAAGCTGCCCATTTCTTCTCAGAGGAAGACAAAGACATAGAAACTTGTAACTCAGATCAGTTAAGGCACATCATATGCAACAGTCCCGTAACCAAACGGTTAGTCAAGCAAAGCTTCGATAGTCATTGTTCATGAGTAAACGGGGAATTAGTAAGATAGAGGTAGTACTAACAGCACGAGTTACTATGCAAGTTAGAGGGTTGGTTATGCGCATTTGTATAACAACCTAATTCCCTGAATCCAGATACATATTTTTCAGGATAATTTGGGTCATAAATTTAATCTTTCATTTCAGTGGGAAAAAAACTGTATGTCTCCTATCTCTAGGGTGCAAAACTGCAGCTTGATGACATGGACAGACAAATTGAGATGCCTTTTTCCACAAGATCAGAGTAACTTCTGTTTTGCAAAAGCAGGGAAAGGAACAACTGCAGATATGTAACTGTTTCTCTCTCCTCCAACAGCATTAATTGCCCTGTCAAGGCAAACCACAACCCCACTTCCCAAGAGTCAAGAGCCTCAGTACTGTCCACCAGCCAGCCGTGGCTTTACCTTCCAAATGGTTTCACCATGACTTCCTCTAGGTATAAACTAGGGACACGTTTAGCTATTAAAGTATTTTGAGTATGTTTGGGTTTATTCTTTGGTTTTCCTAGAGTTGTCACAGAACTTTAAGATAGCACTGCACTAGGAAAACAGGAAAGCCTGCCGCAGATTTTAAGGCCAACATAAATGTAATCAAGACTGGGTGGAAGTTTCTGATTTAAAAAGAAAAACATTTAATCACAGATGAAAACAAGAATAGAGTTACCTCTCTAACAAAGTGCAGAAACAGCAAAACACATTTATTTTTCCATTTATTGGCACTTATTTGAAAAATAGCATAAATATTCAACAGAGAAGAGACAAGTTGACCCACACGCAACTGTTAAACCCCTCTACTGATGCATCTTTTAAAAGAGATTGGAAGAGACACCAGGAGGTTCATTCTTAAGAAATAAGCAAGATTAAAAAAAAAAGTCCTGCCCTCACCACAAAAGTGAACGCACAGCAACTCTTTGGCACATATGTGAAATTGTGAAATGAAACTATGCCGTATTAGAGAGAGAGCAAACAGACATTAAACACAAGCTTGTCCATCTGCCGCAGGGATGAAGGGCAGCATGAATTTAAAAAGGAACTGCAATCAGGAAGTTTACTATTACAATAATTTAAGAGGAATGAAATCAGAAGTAAACCATTTCATATCTCACTTGAACCAAGTAAAACTATTAAATACATTCTAGTTTCTTTCTAGAACAAGGACATGCGGAAACTGGTCATTGGTCCTCAGGTCACCAGGTCTTTGCACTCCAAGTCGCCCATTTCTAATTTCAATGGCTGCTCTCAATCAAAGCTCCATCCATGTGAATCTTTCAGAGTTCACAGTGGGCTTTTTTCCTACTTGAGGAAGTTTCCATACTTTTCTCACTTTTTTATACATTACCAAGATTTAGTGTTTAAAAATAAAACATTTTGCTTCATTATTAACCTCTCTGAAGGGAAGACTTGAAACCCCATAGGACAGACACATACACATGTACAAATGGGGATCCAGCTGGGGAGGTTCAACTGCATAACAGGAGCCAACAACCAAAATGAGGTTGCCACTGGAAAATCTGAAACAGCTGTCTACGGTGGGGTTTGCAGATTTTTCCTCCTGTCTGGGGAATTTCAGAGTTGAGATCAGGATGCCTCAACCCACTGACTTTTCAAGCATAGTACAAGAATCCTGAAACATCTCAGCTTACTAAATTCTAGGCTTCCAATCAGCCTCTGAAGTTTTCAACAGCAGAAATAACTTGATGCCATTGTTTGAGGAAGTGACATTAGGAGATTAAACATGTTTGATCGCCTCAGCCTGTAAAAATGCATTCAAGATTCCTCACTGTATTTGTCCAACAGAAGTCATATATGAGGACGGTACTGTCTGTTAAAATAATGCACTTCAAGTACTAACTACTAAAACCTAAGGATTTAATGTTTTGTTCCAAACATTATTACTATTTTTCCCCTATTAAAAGACCGTTAACAGAGCTTCTACCACTCTAATACATTATCTAAATGGGGAAGAAAAAGAAAATAATATAAAACCTCAGAAGAATGTTCCACACCTAATTTGGATTTAGTCACAACAACAGTCATGATCATGAATAAAACCCAACATATTTGTTTTACAACTTAACTTTTAAGTAAGAACAACCAACTTGTTCTTTTGACATCTATTAGAATACAGAGTTGATTAACAGCCAATCATAATAGAACACAAGAAGCAATTCCCCCCCTAATATTCCCCCTTTCGTATGAAGAACAAAAAAATATAAATATCTAACGCTCAGGGAATAAACACACATTAGTAAGCTGCTTCATTGGTTTCAGTCTGAGGACAAATGTGAAAGTTACCTGTTACTACATAAGCACCACTTCATATTAGTGAGGACACTGCCTGTTGGCAAGCCAAGTCTTCCACAAGCAGAATGTACGTACAATATTTGTAACTTATGCCAACAAGATGATATCCATTGTAAATCAACAGCTTACTAACTGATGATGGCATCAATATGTTTGCAGTTCAAATGCTTACTGTATTTTAGTAAATGTCATACAAATCACTAGAAACATGAATTCCTCCTCAAGGAACTATTCTGGAAGTTTTCTAGAAATAATGACGTTTCTGGAAGTTCCTATGAGGAACAGAATCAGTTACACACAACAGAAAATCTTATTGATATCCAGGCTGTTTCTTGGTGTCCATTAGCAAACTTCTGCTTCTCAATTAATAGGTAACTTAGCCGTAAGATCTACTGGTAAAAAAGGAGATCTGGAGTCAGAAAGTGAGACTGGAGAGTCTGTGTTGGTGCCGACTTCAGCTGGTGAGTCACAGGAAGAGCCTGCACTGCTTCTGTTGTCATCAAGAGCATGTGACGACAGACTGAAAACAGAGTAACATCAAGATACAAGAAATTAGGTACTTTTTCTGAGAAGTTTCAAATACTAGCTTCCATTCATTATAAAGCCATTTTAAAAATGAATGTACATCTTTGAAGGAACAGTAAGCCATATGATTTGAAATAAATCTGCAACTACAGACCTTGCAGTCACTTCCAAACAGACAGATAACCTTCTACCAATTTCGTCCTTCAGCTGACCCAGAAATGGTGTACAGAGTAGAAGCATCAGGCTGAGCAGGTCACTGCAAGCTCTACCTCATCTCCTACAAGGTCCTGGGCTAGCATATATCCAGAGGCTTCTTTTGCCAGGAAAGCACATGTAAACTGTACATACTTCAGTTGTACCATTCACTACATATTTCACAGGACACAAAATCATAACTGGAGGTGATTATCATCAGTGATAGAGAGCATCAAAATGTTTTTTAAAATTATCATCTCCTAAAACCAAGATGCAGCAACTGAACCTGCACTGCTATGCCTACTGTGAAGAGAGTGTGCAAAAAAGGTATGTTTTTAAAGTACGTATAAGCATCTTTATCAAACTTTAAAGTAGCTTAAAACATCTATTTTACTATTGTCACTGCAATGGGCTCAAAGCTTGTGCAGAGCTAGGTGTGTTATCTGAGAGGCAAAAAGAACAGAAGCGCTGTGAACAACCCTGTCTTGATAGTCATGTGAGCACACCCTATGTATTATTAACCTCTTCACTAAAATACTAAATCAAAATTCCTTGCTATTTCAAGTCCTTATGATTTTTAACGTAGCAGTTTTTATCTCCTCCCAGCAGGGAGGGTCAGACAGACTAATCTGCCTCCATGACTAAGAGCAAGGGAAAAAAAAAGAAGAAAAAACCCAACAATCCACCCACAAGCATTAGCATTCACATTTGATTGCAGCTTAAAACTAGACTCCAAAAATTGCCAGCCATGAGATACCTTTTCCTAAACACCTCAACTCCCATACACATGAAGCATGTTAACAGTCAGTCCTAGCGAGTGTAAAATTGTAGTGAATATTACTGCCTGCTTACTGTGGTAAACAGTGCTGCAAAATTACAAGATGCCTGTATAAAAAAATAAACAACAACTTCAAGCATAATCATTGCTAGATGAAAAAAAGACTTGCAATGCTTCTGATGAAGTCGACACAATAAATAGCACAGCATTTACCATCCCCCAAGGTCTGCCTGATGTGAAACTTCAGGGGTAAGCATGTTGGTGGATCCTTGGAATAATCTTTTTGGATGATCTTCTATCTCTGTTACACCTTTGGTAAGAGATAAGGAGTGATAAAAATGACTACTCATTTAAACTAAAATCTACTTTCAATGTACTTCTACAGAGCAAACAGAATAGCGGTTCAAACTTATTACAATAGATTGTTACTTTATATGTAAAACATATTTCAGTTCAATGCTGAAGTTTTAAAGACTGCCTATTTCTTGGAAACTTTAGTTCAAGCTTCAGTAAAGTTTAGTGAGTTATGAACTGAGCTTTAGATAGCAGATGTTTATTCTTCATTAGCGAAGAATAATTTTTTTGTTTCAGTTTATTGAAACAAATAGCAGTTCACTGACTAGCTCCACCAAAGCAGAGAATAAGGAAAGCTTGTTTTCCTCTTGCAATCAGTAAAAACAAGGTCCAGGATTATCACTAAACTTACATATCGACTTTGATTTCCAAATACTCTTGAAGAAGGGAGGATAGATATATGCCTAAATAGGCTATGACAGAACTCAGAAGTATTTTAGAAGTTGGTGTTCTGTTACAAAGGTGAAGCATGAAGATATAAAAACAGATGCAATAAAATAATCAGAAGTTAAACTTGAAGAAAAATGTAGGAAGATTTCCCAATGAAGCTGTAAGGTGTCTACCAGGTCTCTGCATCAGCTTTTGGTTTTGAAGAATGATTTTAAATCTACAGCATCTGTGTGCTTCAGTTAGCCAGGAATCTCAAAATTTTCTATTTGTTAAGTTAAATATACCAATAGTTGTATTTCTTGCTTTGTTAAGCAGGTTACATTAGTTTCTTATCAGATCTATATGACTACAGCAATGGAGAGGCATTAGAACAGAACAACTATTAGTTTTATGGAACAATAAAAACTTATTTAGCAATTTATCTGTTTTATCCCTACAAACAGCTCTATTTTGTCATCTGTAATACGTTCTAATTCTAGTCACTCTTTGAACTATCAGCCAACTGAACAGAATTATGAAGAAAGCTATATAAATTATTATAAAATTTACAAGCTGGCCTATTATATTAGCCAAAACAAAATACTGTACCTTTTCTTTTTATTGACCCAAGAACACTTGGTCGAATGCAATTAATTGGACTCTGACTTCTCCTGCTAAAAGAAGGCATATGCTATACTGATATCACCATTAATAAAGGAAGCCTGAAAACACGTAAAAAAAAAAATCAAAAGATACTCAGATAACAAGCTACAAAGTGGAAAACACTAAGAAAATAGGCATTAAAACAGCTCATCCAAAATAAGTCCTTTTTTTTTTTTCCTTAAGACAGACCAGGAAGCAACTTTAACAGAAAAAGTTTAATCACATTATTTCACAGCTGGGGCAGTCTAAAATCTCCCATCTAGGCACTGACTAGATCTCAGCTGACAGGTAATACTTTGCTGAATTGTTAGGGCCTAATAAAATTTAACTGTATGCCCAGATCACTCAAAACAACATCCAATGCAACTAAAACCAGAATCAGTAACAAACCCTATATCTATCTGTTTGGGTTTTCCCCACTTAGAATTCAATTCAATTACTTAAGACATGATTAAGAGCAATACAGAGACTACACTGAGAAGACAGATGCCACAATGCAGCCCATTTTCCTGATGTTATGATGTGAGGATTTTAAAAAATATTTTAGACCATTGTAAAAACTAAACCTTACATGAATATATAAAGTTGTATTTATGATAAGAAATCAATTATGTATATAACAAATCCTGGTATTTCAAAAGCGTACTGTGAACAAACTATGCCAATTTTCTATTATTGATATGATCTGGTACTTACCTTGAAAATCGCCTTGTTGGACTTGGGCTAGGACTTGGAGGCAATCCACTGCTACTCACCAAACTTTGCAAAGATGGTGAGAAACATTGCTGAGAGCAAAACAGTTTGTGTTATTTAGGTATAAACACTGTATCACACTCATATGGTAACAACCGATCCTTATCACAGATATACAAGCAACCCACTATCAATTTAAGCAACCAGATAATATGCTGAGATACCACTTGTTGTAACTGAGAAAAAAATTTAAAAATTGGACAGATTCCATTTTCTTGCAGAATATATGCAAGTTGACAAGGATTCATTTAGTCTGGTTAAAAAGACTATAGTTCATAAAGTAAGAATGTACGCCCCCACCTTCCTCTTATACCAAGAAGAAGGCAAAAAAAGGATAAGGTTTATAAACCATAGATTATCAGCTGAACACTCCACAGAAATTCACATCCACAAGATGTGCAACTGCTAGCTGGTATTTTTTGGTTTGGGGTTTTACAGTTCTTTTGTTTACTCTCCAGTTTCTTGTTTGCAGCTGAGGTAGAAAGGAGCAGGTGGTTTAGTCTTTTGCTACTAATTTGATTGAATTTATTTAGCACTACTCAAGATAAAACCATTATTACCACATTTTGCTCACCTTCCCTATTCCTCTGGTAGGTGAAGGAGCTGGAGAAACTGGGACAAAGTCTACTTGCTTTGGTGATGATGATTTTTCAAAATCATTGTCGCTCTGTAAATAGTACATATAATTAATCTTACGAGCTAGTACTTAACATGAAAAGGACTGATCAGTGTGGAACTGAGTGAGATTCCAAGGCTATCCTCCATCATAGTCACAATTTTTAGGCAGCCATTTATGGTCTTATGCTTAACAAAAAAACCCAAAACAAGCAAACAAAAAGCCGTAAGCATTATATGGTGATATATACCAGTCTAAGGGACCCACATGTATCCTCGAACAACTGATAATTCCATGTCTTGTTAGTATGAAAAATTGCTGATCAAAAGCAGCTATATACTAACACCTTAACTGTAGGTCAAACTATAAAAGGAAATGTTGACATGAGAGAGTCTCTAGTGTCCTGATACTGATAATAGAAACACAAATTAAAGCATGAATGCATTACCAGGCTCAAGCTCTCTTCCCATGAGTGGCTCATCTGCATTGCTACTTGCACTTCTCTATAAAGAAGAAAAGAAATGTATTGTCCCAGGCCCATAGAAGACTGCATTAAGTATTCTAGTTTGCCTTAATGCTTACCTTTCATGTACTGTTTCTCTGTTCATTAAATTCATTCCTTCCTCCTAAAAGATAGCAGATGAAAAATTAAGACAAAAAAAGCTTTGCTACAGCAAATCAGAAAAGCTAATTTCATTTCGGTATGTGGAAAATTTATTTCAACTCAGCAAAGCAACAATAATCTTAAGCTCTCACTACATGAAAAGCAGTGAGGGGGAGAGAATGGGAAAGAGAAGTAGCAAGAGAGACCATCACATAAGAAGTGCTTATGGGAGTTGATCTCAATCAACTTTTTTCATTTTCATTACTAACCAAGAGGTAGTTACAAAACTGAACAATGATAATATAATAATGAACCAAACTTTTTACATATGATAGAGTATCTTTATGCAGTCTATTACAGATACTAGAAAATACAGATACTGGAAACTAGTACAGATAATCCTCAAAAGCATGAGTGGATCCCTACCTTATTCTATGTATTAGTAACTAACTGAACTCTGTCAGCGTCTCATTTGCAATGCAGTTGGGTTTTTTTCTAAAATTCCCATAAAAATATTATTAAAATGGATCAAAGGTGTAAAATTAAACTAAATGTCAACACCAAGTTAAAGTACAAATTTGACTCAATCTCCTCTTAGGTACACACCTTTCCTTAAAACTACCTGAATACTGTCCAGTCTGTTGAGTGAATTAGTAGCTTCCCTAATTTCAGTTCAAGAATAAAAGTTTAACTAAGCATCTTCACAATCCTCATCATTAGGAAGAGTCTTATTAACATAGTTCAACTGTGTGATTATTTGCTAATATTTGAAAGAGATCAGAAGTAAATCATACCTGTTCTCATCTGTGCCAGTAAGTATACAGAACATGGAATTTCAACTTGTGAACTTAATGATCAAACACAAATTCAGAAGTGTCGTTGTTCACATTAATAAATGTATGGAACAAGTATGAATACAGAAGTATTTTCCAAAAAAAGTGAGTTATCAAACTTTCCTTCATGTCATGTAGCAGAGCCACAGTAGATCATTTCCTTGCTCTCACCACATCTACATATTAATGCTAAGGTTTTTTAAACAGCTCTACAACTAACCTGAGTGCTTCAGAGTCACCCTAAGCCAGTAAATTCTTTACATAATGAAAGCAAGCACATTGTCTTCAGGATTACTATGCACACACCTTAAATATCCGAGGTGGAAAGCAGAAGTGCCTTCTATCACTTCAGACATCATACCCTGAACATGCTGTCCAAAGCATTAAATTGTTTTCTTACTTTCCACCCTGTAAAAATCAAGCCTATCCATTGAAAACTAGCAAGCTAAAAAAAAGTTTTATTATTAAAAAAGTCAAGCATCTTCAAGCCAATTTTATAAACATTCTACTGTCAAAAAGTCGACATCTAAAATGGAGGAGTCACAAGAGTTTGAGCTTGTTGATTTTAAAACTTGAGTCTTTAGACTGCGGTCTGTTGTCTGGTAGCAGTGCTATTTAAGCCTACTCAGATATTTGCCACCCCCCTCCCTTCCTAAGTGTTTACTCTTGTGCCCTTCCCACTCCGCTCATGCTGTGACAGCACAAGTACAGTGATCTGGATAAGAAAATTATATAGATGAAAAATAGCCCAGCCAGAAGGGTCCAAACTATTTTTCAGCCAGAGCTTCCTTATCCAGTTCACTTTCTGGCTGCACAAAACTCTTGTGCCAACACAAGTTAAGGAACACTTTGTTATTGGCCCTCAATATTTACCCTGGCACTGCTGCCAAAAACTTGGTGAAACTTTACCCTAAGGGTTTATATTAACAATTTCCTTTCTAAAATGTCCATTTTAAGAGTTATCTTTCTGCTCAAATCTTCTTCTCACTATAAGATGCATTCTACTTCATGAAATTTGGAACACTGCAGACTAGATACTGCTTTTACTTTTGAAAAGACCTTGAAGTGATAGACTGCTGCAGACTCTGTACTACAGTTTCAAAAGTAAAAACTATAGCCATTCCAAGGACATTACACACTAACAGCAAAAAAAAGTATAAAACATTTAAAATAAAAAAAAAATAGAATCTGTGCTTACCTGTTTGATTTGATGAAGACGGCTGCTAGGAATACGGATAGGAGAAGATGGCACAAACTGCAAAACAAAGCCATATACAACTGAAACACACTTAAAAACTACAGGAAAAGGGAGAGAAAGGGGCAGGAATGTTAGTAGCCACTCTACAGTGGTATCCAGGCTAAAAAAATGTATGGTTTTGGGTGGGTTTGTTTTTTCTTTTTTTAAGAAACCCAGCATTCGTGACATTCTCAGCATACACAAGCTACATTAATTACTTGCAAGAACATGGCAGTTAAAATTACAAAGCAAAAACGACACATTGTGCAAAAAGGTTTCTGGATTGTCTGCCTATAAACAAGTACTTTGACAGATTAAAAATACCAGCTATTAGAAGGGTAACAAAGATACCTTCCTTATGGTTTCTCAAGAGCTTCATCAATTCGGGTGAAATCAGAGAGGATGTCACTAAAAATGGTCTTCTGTTAATTTTGTCAGTTTTGCATCAAGATCTCACTGGAATACTATGATCTAAAACTGCATACTCAAAACCAAGTAATGAAAAGTGATTATTTCCTCAAAATATAATTTCCTTTCATGTATTTCCCATCCCTCAAATATTTGACCCTCCGTCGACTTTTGTCATAAGCTATCCAGGAATCAAAAATTCAAAACTTGAGTCAGAGAGGTTTCACTTACTCTCTGCAAGCCTGACAACCCCTCCAAAAAACAAGGTGTCTTTTTAAAATTTTCAGCAAGTAAGGTTTGTATTTTTACTAAGTGTTTATATACTTTATGTAGTATGAGGGTTTATCAGCTTCACAAAACATTACTGGAGCTCTTCATTATGCTGAAGTTGGAGAACTTAACGAACATTCAGTTAACCATTTACTGCACCATCTTCTCATCAGTGCCATGGAGAATACAAAGATGTTGCTGTCTTACACAAAAGGTCATGGTAAGGTATCACAGATTATCAATGCTTCATATGTTGAGAATCCTCCCTCTAAAAAAGACAAACATCAAGACATCATGTCCTTTTTCTCACAAAAGATATTAGCCTATCAGACTCATACAGAGGATGTCTAATGTTTGTGCCAGAATTTAGTCATCATAACATATACTACGAAAGTCTAATAGCTATAATGTTTTGATTTGCTACTTCTTAAGTCCAGTTTAGGTCAGCTTTACTATTATACTGGGCTCCCAAAAATCCTGTGCATCTAATAAACTTTCCTCCAAGCTGTACCAGCCAATGTGGACCTTGAGTTGACCTTGATTCTCACAGAGAAAAGGATCTTGACAATAGTACATTCCTGCCTATTCACTCTGTCACTCCGCAGTTGAAACACATTTATTCCACTCATCATATTCTAATTTTATGACTGTGATGCACATACTTTAAGGTTTGACATTAACAGAATATATACGAAAGCAGTGGCTTGCAATGTAAAATAAAAATTCTAAAAAGACAGTATTCCCTTGCAGGATCTAATGCACTAACTAAACCCACTAACTCTGAGGATCCTACATCCCACCTCCAACCAGTCACAATCCTTGCTTTGACAATACTTAAAACTCACTTTTTCCCTGTTCATAGTCCTTTGGTTCAATTCTTGTGAAAAGAAACCTTAGTCACTTTTAAAGGATACTTGCTAAAGCAGACCGAACCCATTTGTTAAAATTATACTACACAAATCCCCAATGTTTTAAGAGACCACAAAGCTTAATAAAAAGCATCACAAACTATTAGACTACCACATGGAAGAGAAACACCTTCTCTTTCCTCCCTTCTCCAGTATGTTAGATAAGTTTTTGCAGGGAAGGTAAGGTTCCAGAAGTGCCAGTTTGGCAGGCAGCACAGCCAAAGTGAGCAGTCACCTGCCCCTGAAGCCTCTGCCCTTCCATTGCCATCCCTGCAGTGCCCCCTGTCTTCTGCCAGCACAAGCATTTGTGGGGCCACGCAGTGAACCCTAACAGGGAACCTACCCACTTTAAAATTTACAAAAAACCCACAAAACAAAAAAAACAACTTGTGCTGAAATGGCACCTAAACATCTAACCACGGACTAAAATGCTTTGCTTAAACAACAAAACAAAACACCCAACCACACAAACAAAACAAAAAAACACCAAAACATTTACTCACTAGATGCCACTGAGATCTTCTGGAAGGAAATAAAACAGTGGATACTGAGCCTAGTTGACCCTTCCTTGGCAATTACATGAAGTGTCAGAAAACTGCAGATTAAGACCCAGCCAAAATGGTGTTGCTGCCCCTGTAGTCATCATTATAAAAGAGCTGGAGTCTGAGACTCGGAGAAGCTACTCAAAAAAGAAAAGATTTTAGAATTCAGCTGAGCAACTGGGACAACCACAACAGCCCTGAAGATAGAGCAAGAGAGAGTATACCCTTCAGTTCTCAGAGCATTGTAGCAACAGCCATTGTTCCCATGACAGCGAACGCAACACAGATTAGACAAATACTAATCAATTTTTTTGCATGAAATTTAACAAAACATAAAATTTTAGTTGTATTATAATACTAAACTAACAAAGTTTCAGTCACCTACTGAATCTTTTCATTCTCTTTATTAGAGCTTACACCGCAATAAAACTTGGATTAGTTTCCCTAAATAGAAAAAAGTGTTTTTTGAAGTACACTTTATCATCTACTTACTGTAAAATTTAGTTTACCAAAGTAGATGTCATCCAGCTCCTTAGAATATCTCTAACATCATAAAACTACACTTACTTCTTTGCTGTAGCAAGAATACCAGTTGAGGTTGCTTAGGGTCCTTAATGATGGAAGTTCAATTATTTCCACAAAATCATTCATCTGTGGATGATCCTAGTTTAAAACCACAGAAGGATGACAATCTCTGAGCTCCTTTCCAATTCCATCCTCCCTGCCATCTTCAACAGAATCATAAAACCAGACCATAATTCAAAGGAATATATCAAAATGGAGAAGGCACTGATCTAGCAGTCAGTGGAGCACTTGGTTTTTAGCATATTAGTAAATGTAGTAAAATTTCAGTAAATTTCAATTTAGTAAAATTTCAGCTGTATTTTGTGAGCATCTGGTCAGCCGAGACTGAAGAAAAAAGTTGACTTTCAGGATCCTTTTTAATAACCTTGAAGTGAGGTGAAGGGTTAGGAACACCATCCCATGGAGATGGGAATGCTGGCTCAGTCCAAAAAACTGCAACATCTATTAGGGGCAGCCAAAAGAGCTTGCCCATCAGTGAACTAGCTCCTGCTTCCCAGCAAGTTCCAGGCAATGCACCCTAAATTAGCATCTTTTTTACACAAACATTTAGGATCTTCAAGAAGTAAACACAATAAACTGAGCTTTCACCTTTGTTTCTCCTTTGGTCTGACCACAACCATAAAAAAATTTACCCTAAGCTGCCACCCTAAAAGCATATATGAAGAGAGAGACTTTTGTTTAAGAAATCTTTACCATAATACATTCTATGGGGTTTCATATCCTAGCAGGGTTTTATATCCAAGCAGGCTTTTCTACCAGTCTTCCTAGACTTTTACGTAAGTATCCCAGTTCTGTTACAGATGCAAACCTTTAACTAAATGGCATCAGTCAAGAAAATAGGAGACTATTCTTCAACCACTAACATGGGGCTAACAAATTATTTCTAAAGCATCTTCAAAAGGTAACTAAGAAAAACAGGATAATTGATGTTAGCATTACAGGGACTTCGTTTCCCATACTTAAAAGAAAATTGATACTACTCCCCTCCTGCCCTGACATAACTCAATTTTTCCAAAACATTAATAATCAACTGAATGCAGCTGGATGTTATCCTGTGTCTACCTGTTTCTTAGGCATGTCTACCCCATGTACCCTAACCCTTTAAGGGTTAGCAAACCATGCTCTCTACATGATCTTGTGCAAGTGTTCTCAATCAGTCGAAATCACACCCTTCCTACCACAATTTGTATGATACTAAAACACAAGATACGCAATATTTTCTCTGGGTTGAAGCACCATGAATTAGTATTTTAAAAATTCAGATCTGGGAAGCTGTAGTAACAGAAGTCTGACAAAAGCTGAAATTGCAAATGAGCGTCCCCAGGAGACATGAAACCATTCATTCTAGAAGTCTCAAGATTCATGTCCTATTAGCCAGTTCTATCTTGTTATGTCAGTTGCTGATTACAGCAGTCTATTCTGTCATTACTGTATAAGAGAACATTTAACATCAGAGCATCACTGCCCGTTTGTTTTTTTTACACATCAGAAATGATTAACACCTTGATTCCTGCACAACAATACATCTATGTAATTAGTTTTCCTTGCAAACTACCTTCCTTACTCTTAGAACGTCTGCTTGCATTTTATAAACAAAGTTTTGATCACAATGAAGTATAAAGTACTCTCCAACACTAAATGGTCTATAAATAACATTCCACTATAGCTACAGCATATTAATGTCACAGTCAAGAGCCCTGTTTCTGAGAATATGTCATATTAGTTTCACAGACTACAATCTCATTTTCTTCTTTAATCCCGTTTGCACACTTCTGCTTTGGACCTACTGCGGTTGGTCTAATAGTTTTCTTACCAGACTATGACGATTCATAACTGTGGTACTGTTCCTGCGGGTTCGCAAAACGTTAGCCTGGAACACCTGTGAATTATCACTGTGAAAAGAAACACTTGTCAAATGCAAAAGCCATTTCCTTCCTATCAAAAAGCACCTCTTAATATAAGCTCAGTTTCAAATGCTATGACAGCTATCATTTCAAGACAAAGTACTTGAGAGACAGGTATGTAAGAACTCTTTCAGCTTGTTGGCAGAGAGTGGAAACCAAATTGCTCTTCCCCCAAGTCCCAGCTACTTCAATTAATGATTTTAATTAAACATATTGAGTCTTCAGAATAACTGAAAAATTGTTAAGACTGATCATTTCTGTGGGAATTTGTTATGTTTGGAATGGCTGCAGCTTGCATATTACCTCGAACGTCATTCAACAGAACAAATTTATAAATGGCATATAACCAGTAACTGAAAGCAGCTTCAATGCCATAGATAAAATAGAATTTAAAAAAAATATATAGTATCTTGATAAATCTTATCAATACGAACATTTAATAAGTTCTGAACTTTTTTCCTAGGAGAGGTTAAAAATTAAACATACAGTAAAGCCAGTTTTTAAAGCCCGAAGACTTTTTACCACAGTCACGGTTCTAATCAGGAAGCAGCGCATCCATTTAAGTAATGCAGGATTAATTATTTGATATAAAGTAAGCTCCTTTCTCAAGGCAACTTTAGTTCTATTGATTCCTAAAGCAAGTTTTACTGGTCACCACCAGGGTTATCAACAGCCATTGATCAGCACTTAATGAACGTGACTGCAGAAATTAAGTTTTATGGTTACTAGAATAAAAATTTTGAGCCACAATCCTACAATCCCCATGCCTAAAAATCACCAAGGAAATGCACAGGCAAAAGATCCAAATGTAAGCTTGTAATTAGATCCAAATTACAAGAAGTCACTGGGTTGTATCTTTTTGTTTCAGCTGCTAGCTTGGGATGAACAAAAGCACTACATAAATACAATTTCTTAAAACTAATCTGACCAGTAGTATTACCTTGTTCTAAAGACCGATAATCATAATGCACTTCCAAGATGCAACACTATCAGAATCCTTCAGTTTAAAATACACCAGTTAGATACACATTTTAGATAGCTTTTATCAAGCTGTAAATAAAAAATAAACAAAGCTTATACCATGAAATAAAAGCCAATAGCAATTGGCATGGGCACTGCGCTTTTGGCCAAGAAGGATGCATTGACTCTCTTTCTCTAAAAGATCAAGTACAAATGACCAGACATCACTGACAATTTTCAAAGATGTTTCACTCAGTTTATACCCAGAAGAGATCAAATAGTTGCCATTTGATAGCAGGTGGAACAGGAGAAATTTAAGGGATCCATGACATGATGCTTAGAGACGAAATTTACTGGCTGAGGCCAACAGCTACAACTTCCTTTTAGTGTAAGTGTACTGGTTGATATGCAAACACAACACAAACAGTACATCCTGAAATCCAGGGTTTGAACAGAGAAAACAAATTGGAATGATTCTGTAACACATAACCATAGGCTGAGTCCAACAGTCAGTGCTACCTAAAAGAGAAGGGAGGGAGAGAAAGAAAAACTATAATATCCTTACCTTTAATCTCCCTGGCAAAAACACCAGAGCTGGTCAGACCTCAGACTTACCTTTCACAGAAAATTCTTACAGTTCCTATTAAAAATCAATTTTATTTGGCATTAAAACAAGAACTAAAAGTTCTGTGAAAGGTAACTTCTGTGTTCTAAAATATTCCACTTAAAAACGTTCTCTGGCTCTACGGTAACTTAATTCTCCAAGCTCCTTACTAAATTTTTTAATGAAGAAGTCAAAACAGGAGGCAGAGTAGAAAAAGCAAGCTGTTCAAGAGCAAAAGTTTTTGTTTCAGTTTACCCAACAAAGCCATTCTGGGAAAAACCGAAGCTTCTTGCCAAGAGCTGCAACCTTGCAAAAACAGTATTCTGCTGGAAAATTCCTAACTAACAGGCAAACCACTGCAACCACCTCAAATTAGTTCAATGGCATTTCAGTTTAACTCATGTAAACACCTAATGTATAGTGTATGCACAGTTTCAAGGCAAGAGCTCAGCCTTATCCTTCTACCTGCTCAAACCTTGAATTAAATAATTTTTTTAGAGCATGGTTATGGAATGCTTTTTTCTTTTTTAAGAGTCAAGGGTCTCACAGTTTGTAAGAAACAACTTATAAAAGACTGAGATCATAAAAACGTTTCGACTTAGTTACATAATTAGTTTACCTGCTCAGAAATCTCCCTGAGGAACAACTGCCATTCACAATACTTCTATACTGCATGGAAATGTAAACTGATAGTTACGTAAAAGAATCAGTTATGTCTACTTAACATTAAAACATGACTGAATAGGAAAGAATTAGTATTTCCTCTGAACTGTAATGTACTGTTAATCATTTTGGTACAAAAGATTTATGAGATTTGTTTGTTACTTGATATCTAGTTGCTTACAGAAACATTAAGTTTAAGAAAAAAAAGAAAGCACAACAGAAAGTACTTATCATGTATTACAATATGTTTTAGAAAGTTTATTGTCAATACGTTCTCTCAAACTGCAGACATACTTCTAGTAGCAGCACATGGATCACCCTGAAGTTAGATGGTAGCATCAGGTAGCAGATGGGGGCATCTCCCAACTTCACAATCACCCAGAGGAGGCAAGAAACAGCACTCTGAGTTATAACCTTAACCAAACAGAAAACTATACAAGAGACCATGCACATCTGAGAGCTTTCCCTCTAGCCCTTGCCTGGGACTGCCACTGTCTCTGCCCTGTCATCTGAAGAGAGCTAGACCTGGAACATACGGCAAACATCCAACTCCCCTTGCAAATACCACCTCCCACAGGCTCATGGCAATGTGCAGTCAAAATTGTCTAGGCAACTCCTTGTGTTTCTCCCAGTATTACATACTAACAAAATTAGTATCATCCAGAAAAACGCCAGGGCAACTGACACATTGTTTTAGACTAAATGTAAAACTTATGTATCTTTCAAGGTTCCATGAAATGATCTTCACCAATTCACCCGATTGTTCTAAAATCATTTACTGTTGTAATTGTACACAGCGCAGCGATTTTTTTTTGGTCAGACTTGAACCATTACACAAATCACAGAGATTGCTGCTTTATTTCTAGTAACGGCCACAACCTTGACGCTGCCTACTGTATGTTTCTCAGCTACACAGCATACCTAGATGAAAACAAACAAAGCGTTTTAATAAAGCTACAACACGCCTACCTAAGCTTTCCTGCACACCTCCGCACTTAGAGGGGTATCTTGCCAAAATCCCTCCCCGCTTGGGACACCGGTCAGGAACCCACGCTTCCCCACACGCCCAAGGCGTCCCAAAGCATCACCACCGCTTTGCGCTGCGGGACGGGCGGCGAGGATCACACCTCCCAGGCCGGCCGCATAAACACAGTGCAACCCCCGGGGCTACAGCTGGGGCGGCGATGGACCCCCGTTCCAGACAGAGCGGCAGCCAACC